CTCGCATTCCGTACAGTGATAGGTTCCCTCCTCTTCCTCTTCCTCCTCCTCCTCCCGCCCAGCTGGTCGGCCCTCCCCAGCCCGAGGTGGTTCCTCCTCTTCCTCCCCAAGGGCCCTGCCTTCAGGGGCTGGTGCTTCCTGGGGGGCTGCAGCAGGGCAGCAGAGCCGGCAAGGTGGGGTTCCCGGTGGGGCCTCCCCAAGGGGTGAGCGGCCACAGAGCTGGCAGGGCTGGGCCGGGGGGCCCGGGGGCTGGGCTGCACGGGGGGCCCGGCGGGATGGGCCACCTCGGCCCCCACCAAGGCGCTGCTTCACCTTGTAGCCAGGATCATATTCGGGATCGTCAGTGGTCTCCTCTTCCTCCTCCTCCTCATCTTCTTCCTCTTCAGAGTCCGGCTCTGAGAGAGTATATTCTGAATCAGAGGAATGCTCAGGGCCTGGAGGGGGACAGATAGGAAGAAACAATGGCATTAGAGGAAAGAGGGCTAGACCCAGCTGTCTCCTCCCTGAACTCCCATATTCAGACTTGCCACAGTATGGCAAGGGTAGCTCGGGCACCACCCTTCCCTTCCCTACAGATGGCAAAGAACAAGGCTGGCACCCAGTAGATTCCCTTATCTTTGTGTCAAGCAAATGAATGTCTTGTAGGAACTGCATGGGACAGGACTGGGCGCAGTGGCTCATGCCTGTAATCCCTGCACTTTTGGGTGGCCAAATTGGGAAGATTGCTTGAGGCCAGGAGTTTGAGACCAGCCTGGTCAATAAAGTAAGACTCCGTCTCTACAAAAAATTTAAAAATCAGCCAGGCCTGGTGACACACTTCCTGTAGTACCAGCTTCTCAAGAGGCTGAGGCGGGACAATCACTTTAGGCCAGGAGTTCAAGGTTGCCTTGAGCCATGATTGCACCAGTGCACTCCAGCCTGGATGACATAGTGAGACCTCACCTCTTAAAAAACAATTTTTTTGGCTGGGCACAGTGGCTCATGCCTGTAATCCCAGCACTTTGGGAGGCCGAGGTAAGGTGGATCACGAGGTCAAGAGTTCGACACCAGCCTGGCCAACATGGCGAAACCTTGTCTCTAATAAAAATACAAAATTTAGCTGGGTGTGGTGGTGGACATCTGTAACCCCAGCTACTCAGGAGGCTGAGGCAGGAGAATTGCTTTAACCCAGGAGGTGGGGTTTGCAGTGAGCCGAGATCGCGCCATTGCACTCCAGCCTGGGTGACAAAGCAAGACTCTGTCTTGGGGCAGGGGGTATAAAAAAGGAAACAAAAATTTGTATTGATTGAAAAAGAAATAAAAACCTCCATAAGGAAGTGGGATGGGGGCATTTAGGAAGGACGAAGCAGCGGTAGTGAAAAACCGGCAATAACAAAAGCATCCTTGCTATTGTAGGCGCCCAATTCTTACACATTAACTCGCTAAACCCTCAAGAACCCTTTGGGGGTGGTCCTGTTACTATCCCCAATTGATGAATGTGGAAACTGAGGCACAGGGAGACTAGCTGACTCGCCTGCGGTTAACACAGCTCTGGCAGGAAAAGCTGAACCCGGGCCATGGCAGACACTGCTAGATCATCTTAGGGAGACAAACATTTGAAAAGGTATTTCTGCAAATTAAAACACACACACACACAGATGTACTTTTATATATGTGGCCATGGAGATATATATATAGAGAGTTAGGTGAGTTAAAATATTTATTTATAGGTAAGTGTTATGTTTCACAGTTATCAAGGACATGCCTAGGACAAGTTTAGGTTTAAAGAAAAGGGCCTGTAATCCCAGTATTTTAGGAGGCTGAGGCGGGTGGATCGCCTGAGCTCGAGTCATGACCACCCTGGGCAACGTGGTGAAACCCCGTCTCTACTAAAAACACAAAAATTTGCCAGGCGTGGTGGCAGGCACCTGTAGTCTCAGCTACTTGGGAGGCTGAGACAGGAGAATTGCTTGAACCCGGGTGGCGGAGGTTGCAGCGAGCCAATATCGAGCCACTGCACTCCAGCCTGGCGGCAGAGCAAGACTCTGTCTCCAAAAAAAAGCAAAGGGGAAAAATGTAAAGTTGATGTACAGAAGAGGGTGATATCAGCTGCCGTTATGGGTGCACACACACAGAGTAATGGTTGGGGACGGGGTCCTGTGACCAGTGTGGGAAGTACCAGATTCTTCGGCCTCTGTGGCAGGAGCCTGCCAAAAGCCTTTCCTTGTATCCATCCCAGCCCCATTTCTCAGTTTCTCCCCAAGCCCAGAGGATCCTGCTACTGCAGCCTGTGCTCCACCCTTGCTCCTGTCATCACAGTGGCCACACGGCTTCTCACCTTCCCTGACACCCCAGACCCGCACCTGCCTCAGGGCCTTTGCCGCCCTTTCTGCTGATGTCACTCTCCGGTCCATGTCTCTGCTCAAGTGTCACCTTCTCAGTGACACCCTGGCCACAGAAACCATTCCCCAGCACTCTCTATGCCCCTTACTGTGCTTGATTGTTCTCCATCTTCTTTTGAGACGGAGTCTCGGTCAGTCACCCAGGCTGGGGTTCAGTGGTATGATCTCAGCTCACTGAAAACTCTTCCTCCTGCGTTCAGGCAGTTTTGCCTTAGCCTCCCAAGTAGCTGGGAATATAGGCGTGCACCACTATGCCCAGCTAATATTTGTATTTCTTTCTTTCTTTTCTTTTTTATTTTTTCAGACAGAGTCTTGCTCTGTCACCCAGGCTAGAATGCAGTGATGCAATCTCAGCTCACTGCAACCTCCACCTCCAGGGTTCAAGTGATTCTCCTGCCTCAGCCTCCCAAGTAGCTGAGATTACAGGCACACACCACCACACCCAGCCAATTTTTGTATTTTTAGTCGAGACGGGGTTTCACCATGGTGGCCAGGATGGTCTCGATCTCTTGACCTCATGATCTGCTCGCCTCGGCCTCCCAAAGTGCTGGGATTACAGGCTTGAGCCACCGTGCCCGGCCTAATTTTTGCATTTCTAGTAGAGATGGGGTTTCACCACGTTGGTCAGGCTGGTCTCAAACTCCTGACCTCATGTGATCCACCCATCTGAGCCTTTCCAACTGCTGGGATTACAGGTGTTAGCCACCGCACCGGGCAATTTTTCTCCATCTTCTGACTCACTGCATACAACATTTACTTGTGTGTTTATTTACTGCCTGTCCCAGAAAGCAGGGACTTGGTTTGGTTCACTGCTGTGGCCCCAGCATCTAGAACACCTGCTTTGTGCAAAGAAAGTGCTTAGGACCTATTTGTGGCATGGGTATCTCTGGGTGGAATTTGACAAACCTCTTCGGAGGCCTAACACACACTGTTCCCTCTGGTGGGAATGTCCTGACCTAGTTTTTCCCACCATCCTTTAGAACCCAGTGGGAGGCCTTCCTCTTTGGTGAGGCCGTCCCAGGCCTCCTCATTCCAGGCAGCTGGTCACTTTTTCTACCACCCTCCTGCTGGGTCCTGAGCGTCACCAGCCCGGAACACGTTATAACTGTCTCCTTCTGAACATCTGTCCTTGCAGTTCTCTCCTACTAGTTCCTGCCATTTAAGAATCGTTTCCTAGCCGGGCGCGGTGGCTCAAGCCTGTAATCCCAGCACTTTGGGAGGCTGAGGCGGGTGGATCACGAGGTCGAGAGATCGAGACCATCCTGGTCAACATGGTGAAACCCCGTCTCTACTAAAGATACAAAAAAATTAGCTGGGCATGGTGGCGCGTGCCTGTAATCGCAGCTACTCAGGAGGCTGAGGCAGGAGAATTGCCTGAACCCAGGAGGCGGAGGTTGCGGTGAGCCGAGATCGTGCCATTGCACTCCAGCCTGGGTAACAAGAGCGAAACTCCATCTCAAAAAAAAAAAAAAAAAAAAAAAAAAGAATCGTTTCCTGAGGCCTTGGTATGGGCTGTTCCCCACTGTCCACCTGGTGACCCCCTACACATCCTTCAAGACCCAGCACAAACTCCGTCCTCTAGGAAGCCACCACCCTGATGCCCCAGCCTCCAGCCAGGTCTCCCTCTACTTTCCCCTGTCACTGTCCTAGAAGCTAACTGTAGTCAGCTGGGCCCCAGGGTGTCTCCCTTATCAGACTGGGAACTCCTCAAGGGCAGGTATGATCTTGGGGTCCCCAGCAGAGGACATGCGGGTCAGTGGATGACAGTGGCCCTAAGACCCTGATCTCCCTCCCCAAGGCCTTAGCCTCTGCTCCTCACCTGCCTGGATGACCCTTTCTTTTTTTATTTTTGAGACAGAGTCTTGCTGTCACCCAGGCTTGGTGTATAGTGGTGTGATCTTGGTTCACTGCAACCTCCACCTCCAGGGTTCGAGTGATCCTCCCACCTCAGCCTCCCAAGTAGCTGGGATTACAAGCATGCGCCACCACATCTGGCTAATTATTATAGTTTTGGTAGAGATAGGGTTTTATCATGTTGGCCAGGCTGGTCTTGAACTCCCGACCTCAGGTGATCTGCCTGCCTCCGCCTCCCAAAGTGCTGGGATTACAGGTGTGAGCCACCACGCTCAGCCTGACCCTTTCCTTCTCTACTGGCAAAACTCCTGCAACTTTTCAAACCCAGCTCATGTCACTTCCTCTGTGAAGGCCTCGCTGACTCCCCAGGCCGTCGGTATCCCTCTCATATGGGCTCCCCAGCCACTGCATTGCTCTCTCTCACACCCTGACCACCTTGGCAGCCACCCCATCGCCACCGTTGACTGGGGGCTCCTTGAAGGCAGGACCTAGGTCTGTTCCATCTCTGTGTCCCCAGCAATGCTGAGCATGAGTCAGCCTCAAAAGACATTTGCTGAATGGCTGCAAACCAGAGGAAGTATCTATAACCTCAGGCTGGGACCCCTGTCCTCTCTCCTCCCACCTCTGACTTCATACCACTCACCCTCCAGGGTCTTCAATGCCCACTGTGACATCATACAGTTGGCCTGTATGTGACAGGCAATCAGGTCATCGTCCATGGCTACCAGATGTTTCATGCCTACCGTGACTTCCAGGACCACAAGCCCTTTCACGTCCACCATGTCTTCACCTAAGAAATCTTCAAAGCCCAGCATGCCCCCGGCACGCACCGGCTCCTCCACACCCACTGCGGATCCCACGCCTCCTGCCTCCCTGAAGACCACCAAATCAGCAACGCCCAACAGATCCTCAGTGCCCACCAAGCCAGCGACATCGGTCATGAGCCCAAGTAGTTCCAAGTCCACCAAATCAACCAGTACAAAGAGAGTCCCTTCTAACCGGTCCAGCAGCAGGTCCCAAGTCCACAGCAAGGCAAGAACACCTAGCAGGGTGAGCACGGACACCAGGACCAGCAAAGCCAGCAAGGCCAGTGGCGTGAGATGCCATCAGCGGAGGGGCACACATAGCCGGGGTAGGACACCCGGCAGAAGGGGAAGCCGCAGCTCCAAGAGGTCACCCAGCAGGGCCAGCACTCCTGCCAGAACTCATGGTGCCAGACCAGGCATGGCCAGCAGGGTGGGAACTCCCACTTCCCAGCAAAAACAGCCGCGGGGGAAGAGTTACGGCCGGCCTAGAACCAGCAACAGGGAAAGGAGTGACAGCCAGCCTAGAAATATGAGCAAGGAGAAGAGTTACAGCCCACCAGGAAGCTCAGATAGGGGGAGGAGTTCCAAGCTGGCTGTAACTCCCAGTAGAGCCAAGAGTCACAGCCCAAGTGGAATTCCCTCCAAGAAGAAGAGTGAGAGCCCATGTCCGTCGTCATCAAGGAAGCCGAAGAGCTACAGTCAGATGATCACCCACAGCAGGGAAAAGAGTTACAGCCCGACTACAGTGTTCAGCAGCATCAAGAATGATAACCAGGCCAGCACCCGCTGCAGGCCCCGAAGTCACAGCCAATCTAGAAGCCCCAGAAGGTCAAGAAGTCGCAGTCAGAAGAGGACCTACAGCAGGGTGAGAAGTCACAGCTGGAAGAGAAATCACAGCAGGGCAAGAAGTCGCACCCGGAAGGGAATTCTGAGACAGAAGGGAGGACACAGCCAGTCTAGAACCCACAGCAAGGGGAAAAGTCAAAACCAGTCTAGAACTCCCAGAAGAGGAAGAAGTCACAACTGGTCTAGAACCCCCAGCAAGGAAAGAAGTCATAGCCCGTCGAGAAGCTCCAGCAAAGAGAGAGACCACAGAGGATCTAGCAGCCCCGGTAAGGACAGAGATCGCAGTCAATCTGGAAGTACCAACAAGCAGAGAGATTGTAGCCGATCTAGAAGTCCCAGCGAGAAGAAGGATCACAGTCAATCTGGAAGCCCCAACAAGGAGAGATACCGCAGCCAATCTAGAAGTCGCAGCAAGGAGAAAGATCTCAGCTGTTCTAGAAGCCCCAGCAAGGAAAGAGAGCACAGACAATTTAGAAGCCCCAGCAAGGAGAGAGAGCGCGGACAATCTAGGAGCCCCAGCAAGGAGAGGGAGCATGGCCGATCTGGAAGCCCCAGCAAGGAGAGAGAACACAGACAATCTAGAAGCCCCAGCAAGGAGAGAGAACACAGACAATCTGGAAGCCCCAGCAAGGAGAGAGAACACAGACAATCTAGAAGCCCCAGCAAGGAGAGAGAACACAGACAATCTAGAAGCTCCAGCAAGGAGAGAGAGCACAGACAATCTAGAAGCTCCAGCAAAGAGAGAGAGCACAGACAATCTAGAAGCCCCAGCAAGGAGAGGGAGCACAGACAATCTAGAAGCCCCAGCAAAGAGAGAGAACACAGACAATCTAGAAGCCCCAGCAAGGAGAGGGAGCGTGGTCGATCTGGAAGCCCCAGCAAGGAGAGAGAACATAGACAATCTAGAAGCCCCAGCAAGGAGAGAGAACACAGACAATCTAGAAGCTCCAGCAAAGAGAGAGAGCACAGACAATCTAGAAGCCCCAGCAAGGAGAGGGAGCGTGGCCGATCTGGAAGCCCCAGCAAGGAGAGAGAACATAGACAATCTAGAAGCCCCAGCAAGGAGAGAGAACATAGACAATCTAGAAGCCCCAGCAAGGAGAGAGAACACAGACAATCTAGAAGCTCCAGCAAAGAGAGAGAGCACAGACAATCTAGAAGCCCCAGCAAGGAGAGAGAACACAGACAATCTAGAAGCCCCAGCAAGGAGAGGGAGCGTGGTCGATCTGGAAGCCCCAGCAAGGAGAGAGAACATAGACAATCTAGAAGCCCCAGCAAGGAGAGAGATCGCAGACAATCTAGAAGCTCCAGCAAAGAGAGAGATCGCAGACGTTCTAGAAGCCCCAGCAAGGAGAGAGAGTGCAGACGATCTAGAAGCTCCAGCAAGGAGAGAGAGCGCAGACGATCTAGAAGCCCCAGCAAGGAGAGAGATCACAGCCGTTCTGGAAGCCCCAGCAAGGAGAGCGAGAGCTGCCGATCTGGAAGCCCAAGCAAGGAGAGAGATCACAGATATTCTAGAAGCCCCAGCAAGGAGAGAAAGCGCAGACAATCTAGAAGCCCCAGCAAGGAGAGACAGTGCAGCCGATCTGGAAGCCCCAGCAAAGAGAGAGATCACAGATGTTCTAGAAGCCCCAGCAAGGAGAGAGATCGCTGCCGATATAGAAGCCACAGTGAGGAGAAAGATCACAGCCAATCTGGAAGCCCCCGCAAGGAGAGAGAGCGCAGCCGATCTAGAAGCCCCAATAAGAAGAGTAGTTACAGACAAGCCTACAGCAAGGAGAAAGCTCACAGCCAATCTAGAACCCCTAGCAAAGAAGAAAATCACAGCCAATCTAGAACCTCCAGCAAGGAGAGAGATCCCAGTCAATCTACAGTCCCGGGAAGTCCGGACTGGAAGAGATCCCCTAGCAGGACAAGGAGTCCCAGTCAGACCCCTAGCAAGACAAGCTGCCACTCCCCATCAACACTTTCCAGTGGAGGCCAAATCCTAAGCCGGGATGACAGTCAAGCCAAGGCCACCACCTCTAAGGTCACCTTACCTGGGGAAAGGTCTTCATCATCTTCTTCCAAGCTGGCATAGCCCCCAGTCTCAGCTGGCTCACGGGTCTCTGTCATGGCCGGGGGAGGGGACAGGAGACAGGAGCAGAACAGCAGCTGAGCAGCGTCCCTCCCCGGCCAGCTCTCCACACCACACCTCTGGCCACAAGTTCTCTAACACAGGATGTTGACAGGTAGAGAGGGATGCTGGATAGGGGGAAAGGAAAGGCCGGTGACGATTCAATAAATCTTTACATAGCACTTGTCCCCACCCCAAGCCCAACTGCGTGCTCATTGCTGGGGTGGGGCACAGAGGACCCCAGCTCTGTCACTGACTGTCTACAGGGCCTTGACTGCAAGCCCTGCCCCTCTCTAAGTCTTTTTTTTTTTTTTTCTGAGATGGAGTCCTGCTCCATCACCCAGGCTGGAGTGGCACGATCTCAGCTCACTGCAACATCTACCTCCCAGGCTCAAGCAATTCTCCTACCTCAGCTTCCTGAGTAGCTGGAACTACAGGCTCGTGCCCCAGCGCCTGGCTAATTTTGTATTTTTAGTAGAGACGGGGTTTCACCACGTTGGCCAGGCTGGTCTTGAACCCCTCACCTCAAGTGATCCACAAGCCTCAGCCTTCCAAAGTGCTGGGATTACAGGCATGAGCCACCACACCCAGCCCCACTCTTTAGGTCTTAATTTTACCATGTCGGCAACAAGGCTGCCTTCCGGTTCTTCCTCAGTGGGGTAGGGAGAGGTGACACACCAAATATTCAACAGTGGGGACTGGTGTGGGCACCAATCAGAACTGAGAGTGGAGCAGGGCCGGATGCCAGGCATTAATCTTTAGCTGCTGGGCCATGGGGAGGTCTGGGTTTGGGGGAGTGTTCTGGGAAAACGCTCAAACTGTTTTTCCTCTACTCTCATACTACCACAACAACAATTATCAACACAGAAGAATTCTGTGACCAAATGTGTGGGGCTTTTCCCCCACACACTACACAGCAGACACCAGCTAGGTGTCCCCGCCAATTCAATTCCAACGCTATCCTGGAGTGTCAGATGCCACAGATTGAGGGCTCAGTCCCCAACGCTGCCCCTCAACCCCAGATACCAGTCACAAGTCCAGGCCTCCAGAACATCTAACCAACTGGCTTCAAGTTGGAGTTCCATGACCCTCTCGGTTCAAAATGTGCTGGAAGAGACCCAATGTGGTGGCTCACACCTGTAATCCAAGCACCCGAGGTAGGATCGCTTGAAACCAGTTCAAGACCAGCCTGGGCAACAAAGTGAGACCCTGTCTCTATGAAAAATGTTTAAAAATATTAGCTGGAGCTGGGCTTGGTGGCTCACACCTGTAATCCTAGCATTTTAGGAGGCTGAGGCAAGTGTATCGCTTGAGCTCAGGAGTTCGAGACCAGCCTGGGCAATATGGTTTCTACTAACAATACAAAGAAATAGCCGGGCCGGGTAGTGCATACCTGTAGTCCCAGCTACTCCAGGAGGCAGAGGTGGGAGGACTGTGTGAGCCCGGCTGAGAGTGGAGGGGCAGTGGAGGTTGCAGTCAGCCGAGACTGTGCCACACACACCAGCCTGGGTGACAGAGTGAGGCCCTGACTCAAACAACAACAATAACAACATGAGTTTCTTTTCTTTCTCTCTCTTTTTTTTTTTTTTTTTTTTTTTTAGACAGAGTTTCACTCTTGTTACCCAGGCTGGAGTGCAATGGCGCGATCTCGGCTCATCGCAACCTCTGCCTCCTGGGTTCAGGCAATTCTCCTGCCTCAGCCTCCTGAGTAGCTGGGATTACAGGCACGCGCCACCATGCCCAGCTAATTTTTTGTATTTTTATTAGAGACGGGTTTCACCATGTTGACCAGGATGGTCTCGATCTCTTGACCTCGTGATCCACCCGCCTCGGCCTCCCAAAGTGCTGGGATTACAGGCTTGAGCCACCGCACCCGGCCCTTTCTCTCTTTTTTTTAAGACAGTCTCATTCTGTCACCCATGCTGGAGTGCAGTGGTGTGATAGGCATGGTCTCAGCTCACTGCATCCTCCGCCTCCTAAGCTCAAGTGATCCTCCTGCCTCGGCCTCCCTAGTGGCTGGGATTACAGGTACCTGTCCCCAAGCCCAGCTAATTTTTGTAATTTTGGTAGAGACGACATTTCACCATGTTGCCCAGAGCTCAAGGGATCCGCCCGCTTCGGCTGGCTTCCAAAGTGCTGTGATTACAGGCGTAAGCCACCACACCCGGCATTTAAAATAAATTAATAAAATGTTAGCTCAGGCCAGGTCAGTTCTGCCTGTAATTCCAGCACCTTGGGAGGCTGAGGCAGGAGGATCACCTGAGTTCAGGAGTTCAAGACCAGCCATGGCAAAACATGGCAAGCCCCTGCCGGGCGCGGTGACTCAAGCCTGTAATCCCAGCACTTTGGGAGGCCGAGGCGGGTGGATCACAAGGTCAAGGGATCGAGACCAGCCTGGTCAACATGGTGAAACCCCGTCTCTACTAAAAATACAAAAAATTAGCTGGGCATGGTGGCGTGTGCCTGTAATCCCAGCTACTCAGGAGGCTGAGGCAGGAGAATTGCCTGAACCCAGGAGGCGGAGGTTGCGGTGAGCCGAGATTGCGCCATTGCACTCCAGCCTGGGTAACAAGAGCGAAAACTCCGTCTCAAAAAAAAAAAAAAAAAAAAATTATAAAAAATTAGCTGGGTGTGGTAGCATGTATTTATAGTCCCAGTTACTTGGGAGGGTGAGGTGGGAGGATCACTTGAGCCTGGGAGGCCAAGGCTGCAGTGAGCTGGGACCATACCACTGCATTCAAGCCTGGATGACCCCCTTACAAAAACAAAAACAAAAACAAACAAAAACTTGCTGGAGCTGCTCAGAGAACTCAAGGAAATGCTTACTTAGATATACTGGCTTATTAGAGAGTATGACAAAGAACAAAAATCAAGAGACATGTAGGGCAAGGTATAACAGAAGGGGCAGGGAGCTTCCCGCTATCCCTAGGGTGCCACCCTACAGGAACAGAAACCTCCATGTGGCAGCTACACGGAAGCTCTCCAAACCCAGTCCTCTTGGGTTTGGGTTTTTTTTGAGATGGAGTCTCGTTCTGTCGCCAGGCTGGAGTGCAGTGGCGTGATCTCGGCTCACTGCAACCTCCACTTCCTGGGTTCAAGCGATTCTCTTGCCTCAGCCTCCCGAGTAGCTGAGAGTACAGGCGTGTGCCACCACAGTGAATTTTTGTGTTTTTAGTAGAGACCAGGTTTTACCCATGTTGGCCAGATGGTCTCATCTGTTGACCTAATGATCCGCCTCGCCTGCCTTGGTCTCCCAAAGTGCTAGGATTACAGGTGTGAGCCACAGCACCTGGCCCTCCTCTTGGGTTTTTAAGGAAGCTTTAAGACAGCAGCATTATGCATGGCCTTCTCTGAAAAGCTCTTAGGACCCACAGTCAGGAAGGTGGGGAAGATAGAGTCTTGCCCTGGGGCAGGAAGAGGAGGGCAGGGGGAGGTCAGAGAGATTCTGTTTCTTGAGACCTGCCCTTGAGGCCTAAAGTACACAACATGATAACAAGAGGCTGTAACAAAAGCTATGGGAGTTGAGCCAGGAACTGTGGATGAAAACCAATATAATTATACATATAATACCACAGCAAGCTTCCAAAGCGGCAGTTAGGGACAGGGAGTATTTGTATAACAGTGATACACCAAACCAATCTGGAAGTATTTTAATATTTAAACAACTGGTATGGCTGCACGGGTTTGTGACTATCATCCTTAGTTCTGTATAAATTGGCAAGCTAGTATCTCTAGCTGTGTAGCACCAAGCAAATAACTAAACTTCTCTAGCCTGTTTCCTTCTCTATAACAAAGGGGCTTCCATGGCCGGGCGCGGTGGCACGCCCAAGTCCAGCACTTTGGGAGGCCGAGGTGGGTGGATCAGGAGGTCAGAAGATCGAGACCAGCCTGGCCAACATGATGAAACCCCATCTCTACCAAAAAAAAAAAAAAAAAAAAAAAAAGATACAAAAAAATTAGCCGAGTGTGGTGGCGAGTGCCTGTAGTCCCAGCTACCTGGGAAGCTGAGGCGGGAAAACTGCTTGAACCTGGGAGGCGGAGGTTGCCGTGAGCGAGCCGATATCGGGCCACACCTATGTTCCATGGGATACTTGGGACGTACTTTTCTAAAAGGCTGTATCTTTTGGATATAATTGTTTATCTGAAATTCAAATTTAACTAGGCATTGTATGTTTTATATTGCAACCATACGCCTGCGGCAATCAAGTCGTCCCATGAAGTCACCAAGAGTCAGTGTCCAACAGCCTACACTTTTCAAAGCCCATATCACAGAAGAACTCTTCCAGATTATTCCAGACGTCAGGTAGGGCCATCCCTTGGTTCACAAGTCCCACTCCTACCACGCCTAGGGCAGCCAAACTGAAAGGCAAACGGTGCTGGAGACCCCACAACGCCCTGAGCCTGTAGCAGCCAGTTCCCAAGATGCCCCGCGTAAAAACAATAGGCGCCGGTTCCAACGCTCGGGCAATGAGACCAGGGCAAAACCTTCCACTACGGGACAATAAGGGCCGGTTCCCACAATGCCTGTGGCCGTTCTTCCCAAGATGCCTTGGGCCTATAGCGACCACCCTCCCTGACTCCCCGTGTGGAAACGCTCCAGGCCTCCAGGACGGTCAGCGGCAGGTGTGGGATAAAAGAAACCGGTTCCCCACAAGGATCGGGGACACTTCTTCCCAGGATGCACCAGGCCTACAACAACTAGCGGACCGACTCCCGCAGCGCTTCAAGGCGGAGCGCTCGGTTCTCCCAGGATGCCCCAGGGCGGCACAGCCGCGCTGGGGGAGAAAAGGAAGCCTGGGTCTTGCCCTCGGGTCACGACGGTCCCAGACCGCCGCCGGCTCCCCGGTGACGGGAGTTGTCGCTCCCATCATGCAGTGGGGCCGTAGCGCCCGCTTCCCGGCATGCCCCGCGCACCCCTGCCCCGGACACTCACCGGCGCCGGCGGCCCCCGCTCCGGCTCTGCGGCGGCGGCTGCACGCCCAGCCTCTGCGCCTGCGCCGCAAGTTGGGTAGGAGAGCGCTTGAAGAGCCTAGGGCGCTTGCGCGGCGAGTTGGACTAGTCCTGTAACGCTGTTGGAAGAGGGGCTGTGTGAATCGGGCCGTCGACGAGACCCGCGCGGGGGGCGCTGTGCTTTGCTCCTCACTGCCTGGGTTTACTTGGTACAGTCCGCGGCACGAAGGAACAAGAAAGAAGCTGAAGGGTTCGCGCGTGCGTGTGCGGCGCAGGAACGCGCCTTATAAAATACGGGATGCGCTGCGGGTGGAGGGTGCTAGTTCGGACTGGATCCTGGGCCCGAGGCCTGCTTATTTGCATAATCCTAGTGCGGGACAATGAAAGGCCTCCCGCACTGAAAGGAGTGATTTGCATATTCCCCGGAGGGGCCTTACTCCAGCGCGCAGTGATTAGCATATGGCGGGGGCACCAAAGCAAAGCGCATGCGCGCAGGGATGCGGACTAACGTGAAGTGGGTAGCCTGGTCTTCGTTGGGGATCAGTTTGCATACTGAGAGAGGGCACGAGGGCCAGGACCTCTCCCAACCAGGACAAATGTTTATTGATCTCCTAGGTGTCAGGCCATGTGCTGTTGGGCTCTTTGGTTTCTGCAGTGAAGAAGACACACCCTGCGCCTGTATTCAAGGTGCCCCACTGGAAGGAGATATACACCTAATTAGATAACTACTACCCAGAAGGTCAGACCTGGAGTGAGGAAGACGGGGGACTTTAGGAGCCTAAGAGGCACCTGCCCCGGCCTATGGTTCTTGAAAGGCTGGCTTCCAGGCAGTAGGAACCAACTAGAATGGCAATCGTTCTGGCAGAGTGAACAACAGCAAGCGCCAAGGCCCAGAGGCCAAAAAAAAAAGAAAAAAGAAAAAAAGTACAAAAAGTAGCCAGGGATGGTGGTAGGCGCCTGTAATCCCTGCTACTAGGAGGCTGAGGCACGAGGACCACTTGAACCCCAGAGGCAGAGGTTGCAGTGAGCCGAGATTGAGCCACTGCAATCCAGCCTGGGTGGTGGCAGGTTTGACTGAGGATGAGAGAGCATCTTAGTATGCCTGGAACAGAGCTGGAGAGGGGAAATGCTAGAGTTCAACTGTGACAACATTCCAGTCTTCCTGTAAGTGACTTTGTCACATTCCAGCTTAAAACTCCCCAAAAGGATCCCATTAAGAAAAAAATCCAAAATCTTTATCATCTCCCCCTGGGCTATGCACCTGGTCTGGCCAGCTAATCTTTCTGACCCCACCCACTTCCTCCTCCTTCCACTCCTCTCCTGCTCCACTTTGCCCCAAACTCTCTTTACCATCTCAGGCCTTTGCTCTTGCCACTCCCTCTGCCTGAAAATGGTTTTCCCTCTGAGCTCTAAATACCCGCTCTTGTGCTCACCGTTCATATCTTGGCACAGATGTCAATCTCAGAGGCTTTTCCTGATCTCTGTAATAGCACTTCCACATTTGACTAGGGTTATGGATAAATCGGGATTGATGAGTTGGTGGTGGTTCTAACTGGCATGAAGAGTACATGGGGCCTGGCATGTCTGCTCACACCTGTAATCCCAGCAGTTTGGGAGGCTGAGGCGGGCAGATCACCTGAAATCAGGAGGTTGAGACCAGCCTGGGCAATATGGTGAAACACCACCTCTATTAAAGGTACAAAAATTAGCCAGGGGTGGTTTTGGGCACTTGCAATTCTTGCTGCTCGGGAGGCTGAGGCACAAGTATCACTTGAACCCTCGAGGGAGAGGTTGCAGTGAGCCTAGACTGAGTCACTGCACTCCAGCCTGGGCCACCCATTGAGACTCTGTCTCAAAAAAAAAAAAAAAAGAGTACATGGGACTTTATTGTCCTGTCTACTCCTGTGGGTTTGAAGTTTTCCACAATGACAGAGGCACACCATATCCCCATACTCTGCATTTATATTAATAGTTCTTATCACAATCTGAACTATGTTTGCTTCCTTGCTTTGAGTGTTTTCCTCATGTAAGCTTCATGAGGGTAAGAATGGAGTCGCCCTTTTTCACTTTGGGTTCTCAGTGCTTAGAGCAGGATCAGATTTCAGACTAGTGCACAGCTGTCTTTAACACCTAATATTTGCCTGTTTTATTCACCATGGACCTAGAACTTTGAGCAGCACCTGGAACATTATGAGGTTATTTTTTAATCTAAAGTTAGAATAAGACATCTAAAATGTACATGAATGAATGAGAGGCCTGGCATGCCAGACTAAAGAGCTTTGACTTGGTCTAGAGGTGATGGGGAGCTAGGTGAAGGTTTTGAGAGCTTGACTTTAATTGAAAGTTCCCATGGAGCCTCATGTCTGGGGCAGGGGGAAGCCAGGGTAAGGGTCTGGGCCATGGGATGGGGTAGCTCAGTAGCTATCAAAGAGATGAGACTCCATGACTATTTGGCTGAGTAAGTGGCCAAACCCAGGTTTCTTGGGAGGTTGAGGTGCCCTCAATGAGGTCAGGACCTTCTCCTGGCCAATACTGTCCACTAGCAACCATCACCCCTCTCCCCTCTCCTTTAGTTCCCCTCCCAGTGCTATGGCCCTTGACAGCAGGACAGACACACGGCCACCCCAAGCACTTGTTCTCTCCTCAGTTTAATGGTGGTTAGTGAGATTGCCAAACCCCCTCCCCATGTCCCTCCCTGCCCCATACAAAATGTGTGTGTGGTTTTTTGTTTTTTGTTTTTGTTTTTTTAACAAGAAAAAGGGGGCAAAAGCCAGGAATGGGGAGGGGGGGTGCAATCTGATATTTTCATACAGATTTTTGATTTTTTAATATATTATATATAAAACCATAGAGACCATGTATCCTCCCCAAATTCCTTTCCCCCTCCCTGGGGGGCCTGGAGGAGAGATGGGGAAGGCCCCCCCCCAGGAGTGGGTGGACAGAGAGACAAATATGGATGGGACAGACGTTGGGGGAGAAGGTGGAGAGAAAGGGGATCCAGGAACCTGGAGAAGGGGTATTGGAGAAAAGGGTTGGGGTTGTCTCCCTCACTGCCCCCATCAAAGTTATGACACAAAGACACAGAATCCCTGTTTCCATGCCCTCCCCCCACCCATCCCCCCACCGTGCAAACATGGCTTTGCAAAGAGGTGCCCAGAGCTCTGTGGAACTCTTACAATGGCTGGCATGGGGTCTAGGACCCCCAAAGAAATCCGTGTTCCCGTTCCCTGCCCACCCCACCCTTCCCAGAAACTGACCCCCTCCCCACAAGACCTGGTTTTGTAGCCTAGGGGCCCTGGCCTTCCCCCAGTTATCTTTTCCCAACCCAGTCCCTACTGCCCTCCCTGGACTTGGGGGATCTGGACCTTTGGCCCTTGCCCCCTGGGGGACCCAGACCTCTGGGCTCTCACTTCTGGCCCTTACAGAGATCCAGGCATCCAACACCCCCATCCCTGCCCAAGTGTCTGAGGTGTTAGTGGTGGGGGGAGAAGCCCACCATCCCAGACTCTGGTAAATGTCTTTGCTGGTTCCTTGCAGCTGGCAGTGGAGGGGACCCCAGCCCAGGCCCAGGCCTAGGCCTGGGGTGGGGGTAGGGTCAGATGAAGAATTCCTCTTTCCTCTTGTGTCCATCACTGCCGTTGAGGAAGGCTTCTCTTGCTTCTCCCTGTTCATCCAAGCCACTGGCTTCGTGGGTCAAATAGGAACCTGAGGAGGTGACAGACCCCCCAGGGCAGGGGGGACATATTTGTGGATCCAGGAGTTGGACAGAAATATAGGGGAAGCGGGAGACAGACAAGACAGATGCCAGACAATGGAAGAGGGAGAAACAGAACACACAGGGAGAGGCAGAGAACGAGGTAAACAGTGGCAGAGAAAAGGGTAAAAGCAGAATTAGGAGGACTCCAAAAGCTCACAGAAAGTGCCACCATTATCCTCTCTCTCTCTCCCCCTTTTTTTTTTTAGACGGAGTTTCACCATGTTGGCCTGGCGGGTCTTGAACCCCTGACCTCAGGTGATCCGCCCGCCTTGGCCTCCCAAAGTGTTGAGATTACAGGCGTGAGCCACCGCGCTCGGCCCTATTATCCCTTCTCTTGGAGGTATTCCCTTGCCCTGCCCCCCGCGGATTCGCAATTAAGAAGATAAATTGTTTTATTCAAATCCATGCTCTTTTTTCCCTAATTTTTTGTACTTTTAGTAGAAAAGGGGTTTCGCCATGGTGCCCACGCTGGTCTTGAACTCTTGGCCTCAAGTGCTCCACCTGTCTTGGCCTCCCAAAGTGCTGGGATTACAGGCTTGAACCACCACGTTGCCCAGCCACAAATCGATGCTCTGAATTCAGTTTCTAAATTCTAGCCTTTTTCGAGTCAAGTGCCGAAAGCCCCGCCCCCTTTGTAATCGCGGCCGCCAGGTACAGCAGGATTTGGAATCCAGAACCTAGGTTCCGCCCCCTCGTCACCCCGCCTCTATCCGATCCCCACAACCAACCAACCGCTCAGTCCAGGCCCCGCCCCACTCACCCTTCTGCCGTACCGAGCACCAGACCATGCCCACTAGCACACATATGATCAGAAACACCAGCAGCGCCAGGATGCCGCCCACAATGGCATAGGGAACCGACGTCTGAGCCTCTACCACCGCACCGGGATCTGCCAGAGGGACAGGGTGCAGGACCAGGTCATCAGAGGGCGGTCCCAGTCTGGTCCCATCCCTGCCAAGCTTTTAAGCCATTCTGCACACGTCTAACCGTGCCCTTTTATGTGCCACGCCCCTCAAAAATTAATGCCACCTTGTAGTCCCTTCCCTTTCCAGATGCTTGTTGGTTTGTACACTGCCCGACCCCTTCCCTGAGTCATGTTGCATCTTCCTTTTCTTTTTCTTGTTTTCTTCTGCAGAGACGGGTTTGCGGGGTGGAGGGGAGAAGTCTCGCTGTGAGGCCCAGGCTGGTTTCAAACTCCTGGGCTCAAGCGATCCTCTGGCCTAAGCCTCCCAAAATGCTGGGATTACAGGCGTGAGCGACGGCACCCAGCCATCCCTTTTCTTTTGACTCAAGTTTCTTCCTCCACTAAGAAAGAGAGTCCAAGAAACAGGTCCAATTCCCTTCCCACCTTGTCTAAGACGCTCCAAGTATTTAAAGTGCTGGGCCCAACTACTTCCAAAATTTCTACCCCATCGTCATAGAGCTAAACACAGAACAGTTGTGTGCTAGAGGCCATTCCAACTACTTTACATATTGAGCTCATATAACCTTCACAACAGCCTTGTGAAGTAGATTCTATTGTTTATCTCCACTTTACTGATGGGTAAACTAAGGCGCAGACAGGTTCGGTGATCTGCAGTAGAATGCGGCCAACCCGAATTTGTGCCCTGCTGGCCAGTCTGTCCCAAAACGACAAGAACTCTGTTGGCTACGGACCCCCCTGAGTTAGGCGGCGTCTTTGCCCGAGCCCCACCCCCACCGCCAGGCGCCCGGAGCCCTGCCCGCAAGTCGGCCGCAGCCGGCCCTCACCGTAGACCACGAGTACATAGAGCGCCCTCGCATGGCCGTGCTTATTGGACGCCTCGCAGGTGTAGGTGCCGTTATCCGCGGATACCAGGCCCGGCAGCGTGAGCGTCTCTCCCACGGCCTCCGCCCTCTCCGGCAAAGACTCATTCCCGCGGTTCCAGCGGATCTGGTTTGGCCTGGGTGGGGATAAAGTATAGTGAAAGTTAGGAACTCAGGTGCCAGCATCCAATTCTGTCTCGCCAGGAATCTTGACATGTAACTCTCACCCCGCAGGGACCTCCAAATAAGAGGCTTCCTGCTGTCTCTCCTTTCGGGAAAACCAACAGTCCTGGGCCCACTTCCACCGTCACTACGGTCTCAGGAATTCTAGCCCAGGCTGATCATGGTGGCTCATGCCTGCAATCACGGCATTTTAGGAGGCTGAGGCGGGAGGGTCCCTTCAGGCCAGCAGTTCCAGACCAGCCTGGGCAACTTAGGGAGACCCTGTCACTACAATTAAAAAAAAAGGAAAAGGAGGCCGGGCACGGTGGCTCAAGCCTGTAATCCCAGCACTTTGGGAGGCCGAGGCGGGTGGATCACGAGGTCGAGAGATCGAGACCATCCTGGTCAACATGGTGAAACCCCGTCTCTACTAAAAATACAAAAAACTAGCTGGGCATGGTGGCGCGTGCCTGTAATCCCAGCTACTCAGGAGGCTGAGGCAGGAGAATTGCCTGAACCCAGGAGGCGGAGGTTGCAGTGAGCCGAGATCGCGCCATTGCACTCCAGCCTGGGTAACAAGAGCGAAACTCCGTCTCAAAAAAAAAAAAAAAAAAAAAAAAGGAAAAGGAAAAGGAATTCTAACCCTCCCATACTATGCCATCCTCAGCATCCAGGAGTTCGAGGCTGTACAGCTTCAGTACTGGGGAGTCCAAGCCTCCAGATTCTTCCTCCCTGGGGACCCAGCAGTCCAAGTCCTAGCTCCCTATTCGTCCAGGTCCCCATCTCTTTCCTCCTCAGGACCCAGGAGTCCAGGTCCCAGTCCCTGTTCTTCCAGATCCCCAGCTTTCTCCTCCCGAGGATGCAGGAGGCTCAGGCCGCAGAGCTCACCTCGGGTTCCCCGTGACAGCACACGTCAACACCAGCGTGTCTCCCTCCCTCACCACAGCTTGGGAGGCATGGATCCTGGCCGTTGGGGAGTCTGTAGGCAAAAGTAAGAAGGGAGAGTAGTTTCCGAGCAACCACGCGGGACAAGGGAGACCCTGCCGGTTGCGGGTGGCTGGCGTTGGGATCCCTTGGGTCCCGACCCACCGGGCACTTACACTGCACGTCCAGCACGTACTGCGTCTGCTTGCTGTGTCCTGAGGGCAGCGCCTGGTTCTGCGCCTCACAGATGATGATACCACCATCGTCCTTACGGTCCACACGAAACCGCACTGTGCTTGCCACGCTCCAGACCTTGCCATTTTCCTGGCTGCTGCTCACTCCTGCCACGCCCCACCCAGACACTGTCAGGCTACGATTCTGGCTCCATCCACCCACCAGGGCCAACCCCTAAGCAGGCTATCTGCCAAGCTCCACTCCTTGCCCAGAGGCCACGTCTCTTACCCTCCAAGCTACGCCCCTCCCCAAACCAAGCCCACGTGGCTCCTCCCAAAGCTCTTCCCTCTTTCACGCTCATGCTTTCTCGTCTATCAATCCATTTAATTGCTCTCTCTATATATAAAAACATAAATTTATATATATACTTAGAGATGGGGTCTTGCAATGTTGGCCAGGTTGAACTCCTGACCTCAAGCAATCCTCCCATCTCGGCCTCCCAAAGTGCTAGGATTACAGGCGTGAGCCACCGCGCTTTGCATCGACCGCTACCTATTGAATGTCCACTGTCTGTGAAAACCTGTGGCTTCTCTCCGAGCCCCGCCCACATATAAACAACCTCTTTTAAGTCCCACCTCCTCCCCAACCCACCTCAGCACTCGGCCCAGGGTACCTTTCAGCTCCTTGCGGTCCCTGTACCAGCGCAGGGTGGCAGCCGGGCGGGACCGTGGAACCAGGCAGCTGAGCTCCACCTCACCGCCCTCTACCGCCTGCTCCCGGACCTCCACCACGGGATTCTCTGGGGCCACTGCCGCAGTGAAAAGGGAAGTAAGGGGTTAAAGAAGCATGAACCTGGGTTCAAAACGATCAAGCTGCCGGTTCCCAGGGACCAAAGGGAACCAGGGTCCCAGGTGGCAGGGCTCAAAGGGGGTGAGGAGCCAGGTGCCCACCCAGGATGTTAAAAATAGCCATGGTCAGAAAGTCTCGAGAAGAGAGAAACAGAGAAGAAAGAAGAGGATGCATCCAACAAGGGGGAGGGCGTTACCTAGTACAGTGAGCGTGGCAATCTGGTGGTGGGTGTCTTCCGTGTAGAGCTGGCAGAAATAGCCCCCCTCGTCCTCCAGGCGGGCATCTGAGAGCCGGATCCGCACCCGGCGTGGGGAGAACTCCTCAAGCTGGAAACGCTCATCTTTCAACGCTAGCGAGAGTGAGGGGGAAGGTGTGAATTTGGGGAGTCCTGGCCTCACAAGTCCCACCCATCCAACAGGAGCTTAGAGTTCAGCCCTCTGCCTCTTTTCTGCAGCCATACCTATGAGTTTGAGGTGTCCAGCTATTTACTCCCTTGAGGACCCAGCACTATCCGAGTCCTCCTGCCTGCAGAACCAGGAGTCCAGAGCCCCCAGCCCTTTCTTCCCCGAGACCCAGGAGACCAACTCTCAGGTGTGTCCTCTTTCAGGATAGGAAGTCTGGGCCCCAGCACTCACCACGGGTGCCATTGAAGAAGAGGGTCTGCCGGGCTGGGTTCTGGATGACAACTATGGACCCATCATACTGGTGCAGACGGCAGGTGATCTCAGCCACCCCACCCTCAGCCACTGTCACGTTCTCTGTCTGTACTTCCTGCCCTGCCCCTGGACCATTAGAGAGACAGGATAGAAGACTCATTGAGAGCTGCAATTCAATCTCTTCTCTCTCCCTCTCCCCCATCCAAACCTCCAATCCCTCTCTTTCCCCTCATTCATTTCATTGCACCAAACATTTCCTGCAGGCCAGAGTCCAGGACAGGGAGGAAACCTGCTCCCTGCTCTAAAAGAGCTGCAGTCAAGATTTAGTAGAATATGCTCTAATGAGGGCAGCACAGGGCACACTAGGAGCCCAGAGCAAGGGGAGACTATTATACAACTGCCTAGAGAGATGGGAAGCCAGAGAGGGCTCTGCAATAAAGCTCCCTTAGATCTGGATCTTGAAGAGTAAGCAGGAGTTCACAAGGTGTGGGAGACTGCTGCGTGTTCACCAAGCCTCATCTTTCACACCTGGGCACATATCGTAGCCTGTTTGCAAAGATGGCTGTAATTTTCTTCCTGTTCCTGGACATGCTCTTTGCAAGTTGATTTTGCCTTTCCTGCTGTTGAGAAAGCACTCTGTCCCCCACTAGTCTGGGTAAGCCTTGTGAATTGCTTTGATCAACAGAATTTGCTATAAATGATATTGAGCCTAGGCCTGAAGAGGCCTTGCAGCTTCCACTCCTGCCTTAAGACTGTTGCATGACGATGCCCAGACTGGTGTCTTTGCAGATGAGAGATCACACTGAAAGAGAAGCCCAGCCAGCAGCCAGCACCAACCACCTGGATCATCCAGCCCCAGCTGCCCCACCAGATGACTGCAGCCACACAAGTGATCCCAGCTGAGACCAAGATAAGATCTGCTCACCTGGTCCAGTCCCAAATTGCTAAACCCCAGAATCATGAACACATAAAGTATGGTTGTTTTAAGCCCCTAAGTTGTAGGTGATCTGTTCTACTGCTAAAGTTAACTGATACAATACATAACTAGGCTATACTTTCCAGCATCCTTTGTGGTTAGGTGGGGGCCATGTGATCAATTCTGGCCAATGAGATGTAGGCAGAGGAGAAGCACCTCTTGCAGGCTGACCCATCTCCCTCATAATCCTTCACACTGGCTCAATAGAGAGGACTCCAAGGAGCCTAGAGGAGGGCAGGCTCACAAGCCGGAAGGAACCCGGGTCTCTAACTAACTGTCCTCCATGACCCACCTGTACAGAACTGTGACATGAGCAAGAAATACACTTTTTTTGTTAAGCCATTGAGATTTCAGGGGTGTCTGTAGCAGCAGATAACCTACCCTGATTAATCCATCAGAAGAAAAACAAGGTGGGGAATTAGAAAGGGGGTGTTTCTAGCACCAGCAGAGGAAAGAGCTTAGAAAAGCTGAAAGCCAAGACCAATCATCAGTATGACTATCATCATGTGTCTTCTTCAAAATAACAATAACCCCCATAGCTACCATTTATCAGGCAGTCGCAGTGCTAGTCCCTGTGCTAAGGACGTTACCCACATAACTTACATTTAATCTTCACAATCCCTGTAGCTGGAACAACAGGTGTGCAGCACCACATCTGGCTAATTTTTGCATTCTTTTAGAGATGGAATTTCACCATGTTGCCCAGGCTGGTCTTGAACTCGTGAACTCAAGTAAACTGCCTGTGTCAACCTCCCAAAATGGTGGGTTTACAGGCATGAGCCACTGCACCAGGCAGCCTGCACTATTATTAATCCCCATTTTTCCCCCATCCCCATTTTATAGGCGAGGAAATTGGCCCCCAGAGATGAAATGACTTGCCCAAGGTCACAGCCAAGAGTGGCAGTGCCAAGATCTGTGTCCAAATCTCTGATTCTGTATGCTGCACCCATATATACACTCCGGGCTGCCAGGAATGAGTGTCCATTATTGGCAGGGGGTTGTGAGATAGGCTTGTGATGGGCCTCAAATGCCAACCTAGGAGATTGGCCTTTATGCTAAAGGCCAGTGAAGCTGTCGAAGCAGGAAAATGCTATGCTTAGATCTGGCTATTTGTCTTTCAGTGATGGATAACTAGCCCTGTCTTTTCCATTCAGGTGCAAGGTTGCATTCATTCATGAGTATTTCCCAAGTATGGCATAGGTTTTCAGGGGCTGAGTTCTCAGAGATGAGTTAGATGAGGTCCCTGCCCTTTAAGATTTATGGGAAGGTAGAAACCAATCACTGTAATCAAAAGTGTTACATTCTCTGTAAGAGGGTAGGTAATCTAATTTGGGAGTTGAGGGGTAGAAAAGATGATTTCTGGGGGAGGGAGACAGAGACTTCTGGCTTCCTCTTCTGACACCCATTTTCCCCTTTCTCCTCAGTGAAAGGAAAGGACACTGATTGCATTTTATGGTCGCACTATGTCCAGCAGAAAGAGACATTTCTGTCTCCCTTGCAGCAAGGTAAAGCCGTCTGATGTTGTCCAGTTGGATATAAGCCAAAATGGTGCATGACAATTTTGGGAGGACTTCCTAAAACAGGAGGACAAACCCTTTTTCTACCCAGTCACCTCTGTGCTGCCCAGAACTAGAAGTATGATGCCTGGAATTTAGGTGGCCATATTGAACGATGAAGACAAGGGCAGTGGGGATGGAGGAACCAAGAGCTAGAAGGCGCCTGCGTCTCTGGTGATGACGTGGAGCTGCTGTAACAGCCCTGGACTCCTACCTCTGGACTTCTTTTGTTTGAGTATAACACTTTGGCATTTATTTTTTAAATGTATTTTAGAGATTAGGGCTCACTATGTTGCCTAGGCTGGACTCACACTCCTAGGCTCAAGCAGTCCTCCTGCCTCAGCTTCCTGAGTAGCTCAAACTACAGCACTTTGAGTATTTAAGCCACTATTTGAGGTTTATCTAGCACCTCCTGGAATATCAAGCTTAACATGTCCAATCCTTGCCCCAGATATTTTCCTCTCCAAATTCTCTCAATCTCACTTAAATGTCACCACCATCCACCTGGTTGCTCAGGTCAAAAACCTAGAAATCATTCAAGTTCCATCAGCAGTATCTGTCCATCCTACCTCCAAGACATATTCCAGACCTCATCACCTTTGTCTGCCCCTCCTACCCTCACCCTCATCCAGCATCATCCCTCACCTGGACTCTGCAAGAGCCTACTCGTGGGTCTCTCTGCAACCCTGTCTGCCCCCTCCATGGCTGTTCTCCACCCAGTGGCTGCATGGATTTTTCAAAGAGGTAAATCAGTTCAATTCACCTCTCTCCTTAAAACCCTCTGAGGGCTGCCCATGACATGTAGAATAAAATAGAGACCCCTTCCCAGGGACTTCAAGGTCCTCTGTGGCCTGGCCCCTCTCTGACCTGACTGTTGCATGACGATTCCCAGACTAGTATCTTTGCAGATGAGAGATCACAGTGAAAGAGAAGCCCAGCCAGCAGCCAGCACCAACCACCTGGATCATCCAGCCCCAGCTGCCCCACCAGGGACTTCAAGGTGGGGTTGGGCTCACTAGCCCTGCTGTCCCTGAAACATGATGAACTGGTTCACACCGCCAAGACTTCACCCTTTACTTCCTTCTGTCTGAAATGTTTTTCACCCCACCTCCCGACCCCCATCTTCCCAGGGCTGACTCATGTTCCCATTTGGGTCTCAAATCATATCAGTACCTTCTCAGAGAGGCCTTCCCTCACTGCTCATCCTTCACTTTTAGATCACTTTCTTTTCTGTTAAGACACAAAGTCAGCCTGGTGCGGTGGTTCATACCTGTAATCCCAGCACTTTGGGAGGTCAAAGCAGGCAGATCACCTGGAGTCAGGAGTTGGAGACTAGCCTGGCCAACATGGTGAAACACTGTATCTACTAAAAATACAAAAATTAGCCAGGTGTGGTGGTGCGTGCCTGTAGCCCTGGCTTCTCGGGAGGCTGAGGCAGGAGAATTGCTTGAACCTGGGAGGCAGGAAGTTGCAGTGAGCTGAGATTTAGCCACTGCACTGCAACCTGGGTGACAGAGTGAGACTCTGTCTCAAAAAAAAAAAATAAGTGGGGCGGGGGAGAGAAGGTATCGGTCTGTTGCTCAGGCTGAAGTGCAGTGGCATGATCACGGCTAATTGCAGCCTTGAACTCCTGGGCTCAAGCCATCCTGCCACCTCAGCCTCCCAAGTAACTGAGACTACAGGCTCCTTCCACCACACCTGGCTAATTTTTGTGGTTTTTGTCAAGACAGAGATTCTCCATGTTGCCCAAGCTGGTCTCCAACTCCTGGGCTCAAGGGATCCTCCTGCCTCAGTTTCCCAACATGCTGGAATTACAGGCATGAGCCACTGCGCCTGGCCCAGAACACTTTGTACTTCCTCACTATTGTTTTACTTCTTCTACGAAGATTTCACTGGAATTATCAGATTAATTTGCTTATTTGTTTACTGTCTGTTTGCCCATGACTGGACTATATACTCTAGGAAGGCAGGGATATAATCCTTTGGGTTTATTGCTGCACCCCTAGGACCTAGAAGAGTGCTTGGTACCCGATAAATGTCTAGGGAACTTGCTGCATGAATTACATGCATCAGATGGGATATCTGCTTATCTTTCTTTTTAATTTTTTTATTTTTTATTATTATTTTTTTGTTTTTGTTTTTGTTTTTTTTTTGAGACGGAGTTTCGCTCTTGTTACCCAGGCTGGAGTGCAATGGCGCAATCTCGGCTCACCGCAACCTCCGCCTCCTGGGTTCAGGCAATTCTCCTGCCTCAGCCTCCTGAGTAGCTGGGATTACAGGCACGTGCTACCATGCCCAGCTAATTTTTTGTATTTTTAGTAGAGACGGGGTTTCACCAAGTTGACCAGGATGGTCTCGATCTCTTGACCTCGTGATCCACCCGCCTCAGCCTCCCAGAATGCTGGGATTACAGGCTCGAGCCACCGCGCCCGGCCTACTCTTTTTTATTTTTATTTTTGAGATGGAGTTTTGCTCTTTCACTCAGGATGGAGTATACTGGCTCAGTCTTGGCTCACTGCAACCTCCACCTTCCAGATTCAAACGATTCTCCTGCCTCAGCCTCCACCCACCACCATGCCTGGCTAATTTTTGTA